CTTGAAACATGTGGTGGTATTTTCCGACCCAAATGGTTCACCACAAACTTTATTTTTATATTAGTAATAGGAACAAATTATATATACCACGTGAATATATACCTTCGGATTCGTTTGTTTAAATGTGTTAACTCGTAAGAACCATGGTAAATTTAGTACTTATAAGATAGTATTAGATTTTTAAATCCATCTTGTATGGCAAATGATTAGTATAGGCTTTATCTTTCGTTCAATTTATTTGATTAAATGTACGTTTGATGTTTGAACAATGATATACCAGAGACATAACACAATATTATATGTCTCTGAAATTACTATGCATTGAATGTGAATTGAATTGCTTCGGAAGTGTAAGCAGTTACTGCTCAACTAGTCTCATTCGTTGTGTTGCTCAACACATGAAAACCTAGAAATAAGTCGTATTCAGTGATATATTATATACGTTTTAGATAATTTTAGGTAATTTCCTTTTGTCGACACCATACCTTAAATACTTCTGAGCAAGTCCCTTTAATATTTGGATAATCTATGTCACCGTTACTTTTTTCTAACGTATAGAGTAGGGATCATTATACACATGTGAAAGGGCTCTCACCGTTTTGTTTTGTTTCATTTTTTATTTTTAAATTGTTACAAATGTAGTTACTGAACAATAAACTGTTGACACAGAGATATGTCTCGCGTTTTGTAATTTTGATGGTAAAATGCAAGATTGAAATTAAAATAGCAATTAATATTTAGATATGTAAACTATGCAAATCATTAAGAGTTGAATGCACTATGACTGAAGGTGCAGGGCCAAATAATCTCCATAGAAATGTGAAATACCAATGCTTATAAAACTGTAATTCAAATACCATTGACTTATCATAAGTGGTTCCCTTTAAACTAACATAAACACATACTTTAAGTTGTAAAATATGTAAAAGTTTCAAAGTCAATGTACCATGACTAGGGGGTGGGACCATATAATCTCCATGCAAATGAGACTTGCAAATACCAATACAACTGCATATCAAATATCATTGACTTAACATTAGTCGTTCATTTAAAATGATGTAATCACAAACTTTAACATGTAAATAATACAAAACATTCAAAGTCAATGAACCATGACTGTAAAGAAAGGGGGAAACAATCTCCATGGAAATGAGATGTGCAAATGCTAATTCATCTGCAAACCAAATATCATTGACCTTCCACTATACCAGTTCCCCTTAAACTGACCTAATCACAAACTGATAATTTAAACTAAGCAAAAGTTTTAAAGTCAATAGACCATGACTGATGGGACGGGGCAAAACAATCTCCATGGAAGATTATCAGATTTTCAAAACAGTTGTATAGTGCGTTATCATATTTGTAAATATATCTGTTATGCTGTTCATACGCGATAAGGGATGAAGCTTTTTGAACAAACTCTTACAACATAATGCCCTGTGACAAATATTTATCCGAACTGTACACGTGAATTATTTGGTCCAACTGAATTAAAAGAGAAGTCTAGCTCTGTTAAAAGAGCGATTGTTTACTTTGTCGAGATCTAGGTCCCAATGGTAAAGCGCTTATCATTTTCACAATACACATAATCATCTTTCTGTAATTTTGATTTAGAAAAATTTTGTTTGTTTTTTGTATTTGATATTTCATTTAATAGATAATTGCTCTCTCATTTACGTTTACCCATCCACAATTTCGTATTAAAGTCGTCTTAACCGGACGTTGACTGAGGAATAAATATTGTTCTTGTGTGGAATTACAATTGATAATTCGCATCTCTGTAATTTGTGGATAAATGTTCTGCAAATTCGTAGTAATCTTCTAGCATCTATCCACTAGACCTTGATTTCTACCTACCTTTGATTTTGATATTTTCTTTCCTAGTGACCTTTTTAAATGCGAGAAGAGTCCTATCATAAAAATTCGTAAGGGTTCCGCGGAACCCAGTGTCTCGCCTACTTTTGCTGTTAATCGCAGGCTCAACAAAAATGAGATGAGGAAAAACTCGATACATTTTTTTTTGTAAGAAGCTTTTGTCCAAGTTTGGTAAAAAACCAGGATAGTTTATGAATCTAATAAATGTCTTAAAAAATTTAACTGCAGACTGTATGCAATGTTAACTGTAAGAAAAACTAAGTCCATTTATAAGTAAAATTTGGATAAACAAGTACAAAATTTTAATAAAAATTTCCTTCTAGATACTAGCTTTTGATCATAAACAAACTTCTGTCCATGTTTGGTAGAAATCCAGGATAGTTTAAGAAAGTTATTAAAATTTGAAAAACTTTAACCACAGAGTGAATGTAATGTTTCCTGGCAGAAAATCTAAGTCCATTTATAAGTAAAATACGGAAAAACAGGATTCTTTTTTACAAAATTTACTTCTGGATACTATCTATTGATCATAAACAAGCTTCTGTCCAAGTTTGGTAGAAATCCAGGATAGTTTAAGAAAGTTATTTAAATTTAACCACAGAGTGAATATTTGTGGACGCCGCCGCCGACGACGACGACGCCGACGACGCCGACGGAATGTAGGATCGCTATGTCTCGCTTTTTCGACAAAAGTCGAAGGCTCGACAAAAAAGAAAGTAAAAATTAATAATCTAAATATTTTTCCTATATTTTGTTAGCTTTTATATGATGTAAAACTCTTATATAATTAAGAAGTTACAAGAAGCAGAATTTTAAAACCTTGAAAGACTATTGAAATGATAACAGGTTCCGAGGTTTAACACACTTTAAATCAATCTAAGGGAACTGATATATTAACATTACCCCTCTAGAATGGCAGTCGTAAAATATAAACACTAGCTAAGAGTAACGATCCTAGGATTTCGATTTAGAGGGAAGACGAGAGAAAGTTCCATGCATTGGTTAAGGGAGGAGACACAAACAAGAAAATATCGATTATTCAAAATCCTGCTTTTAATGTTGAAATAATATATTCAGCAATTGATTTTCAAATATTTTAAGACTAGATAGTCTTGTTGATAAAAGATATGACAATAAAAATATTAAGATACTGCGTCTAATAATTTTAACCCATGTTCATATTGAAGTGCATCAGAACCAAAATAACAACGTCTTGTGAGTATCGACACTTATTGATTGTATCAAGGGACCAGACCATATTCAAAACCCCATAAGTGATTGTTTTTTTATTTTTTTGTCATCTCCAACTATTTTCTCATTTTGAGAGTTTGGTGAATTTGGTATTTTAGAAAATCTTTGATAGCCTGCATTTATTTTATTTACGACTTTTCATTATTAGACGCTGAGTTGACATATTGTATAAAGACCTGTCTATTAGTAAAGACCATATGTTGATATATAGATGTATTTATTTTTTGTGTCGTTTGGTTGAGGTATTATTGACGTATATCCCACGTTTCGTTTTATGACGTTTGTTTAGGACCATAATAATGTCAATTTTGTTCCTGGTGGTTCACTGTCTTTTTATGATATCTTCTTTGAAGTTTTTACAAATCTGGCTCAATTTTGCCACTTTAAGCGACATTGGACTTTTCATGTTCAATGTAACAACACTTGTAAGAATATTCTAAATATTCTAAACCATTGTATATTGTTTGATATGATTGAGTTCACTTCTCGAAAATGAAATCAAAATCAAATTTCAAGTATGTTTTCAATGTAAAATTTTATCACAATGGGGTTCATTTTGAATTTCTGATCGGCACTTTAGTATTAGCACTTAATGAGATACTTCAAGGAAACATATCTGTCGAGTTTGACAGCAATTAATTCAGCAGTTCTTGGGTAGACTTTAGTAAAGTTTAGCAAATAAGAAACTAGAATTGACCAAGGCTGCTATGTTAGTTGACGAATTGGTACTAAAGTAATACTTTTTAGAAAAATGCTGTGTAAGAAACTTTAATGCTAAAGTTAATTTCATGCTGTTTAGTGGTTCTTTAAGTCATATGAAACGAGTTTCGGGTGATTATGATGTTAAGGAAATTGTTGAACAAATGCATTCTTATATTCCTAACTAAGTCCTAGGTGCATTGTTTTGCGTTTGTTACGAGTTCAAAACGAATCATCGACAAAAAATATTTCATTCGGTGATTGTTGATCGGAAACTTTGGTTGCTTATTAACTTTAGGGTTTTGTTGCCGAAGTTTTTTCGATCGTGACCTTGGTAAACAATCAACACATATTCATGGAGCACGTGAATAAAAAGTGTGGTGATAAAGCAATGTTTCTTTTTGTTTATATTTTCAACACGTTTACACGCGTTCCTATTTGTCAATTAAACTTTGTAGATAACAGTTGTTTAATGATTTGGTGTTTAACAATGTTTCTTTCAGAATCAGTTTTATTCCCTTTTCATACTGTCTACTGTTTCTTCATTCACAGGTTTTTTTTCACACTTCAGCTGTGCAATTGTTGAATTTCAAAAGCGAGATGTCATAGTTTAGGTCACTTTATACGAAAAAAAAGTCGGCGTTTTAGAGTATGAGACGACAATAATTCACTTGCAGTACATTTCTGACGATTTGGATACAATAAAGGATTTTCTTTTAAAAGAGAGTCTATCTACACGTAGTTTATAGTTAAATCTAGACATTCAAGTACATGTATATAAAGCTTATTAACCTTTTTTGCATGTTAAATTATCGTACAAATTTAAAAAAAAAAATAATTGAAATGTAAATGGTAGGTCGACGACTGACCCCGTACCCAAAGTGATGACAATAACTCAAACGGACTTTATCAAATCTGGTACCAACAATGCAAGTTTACATAACAAAAAAAATATTGCTTTCTTAGGAATTGGGATTTCAATGATAATTTTGATGACGTTTTCATAAATATGTTATTTTTTCGAATATGAGTTTATAGAAAACGATAGTTTTACCCGGCCACATTAGTATACGGCTATGTTATAAGTTAGGAATCAGTGGAAGCCAGTACATATTCGGAACAAAGTAATTTTATTCGGATGTTTTATATCGATTTATGCAATTAACAAGTCAGCATTCATTTAGATGTTTTTAATTCAATTTACATGTTAAGCTATCATTAAATAGAAAACAACACTATACTAATAGACTATTTTCATATTACCGACTTTTGACTCCGGATTATATAATTTGTCGACTGGTTACCTTGGACATCATGGTACTCGGTCAAGTAAGAGCAACCAAAATAAGTAAAATCAAACATATAATCGGTGTAATTTGAGGGGAAAGTTTACTGTTTTCCGATGATTTTGTAGTGAAAAAAAAAATATTAACCAGGTAATTTTCCCCCAAAATTGTACCGATTGAAAGCTTGGTTTTACTTCTTTAGCTTGCTCTTACCTGACATGGTACCATGATGTCCAAGGTAACCAGTCGACAAATTATATAATCCGGAGTCAAAAGTCGGTAATATGAAAATAGTCTATTGATATCGATTTACTACCTAAGTAAAAGCATATTATAAAACAGTCTTTGTTTCTTGCTTTTATATTTGTGTTCATTTGCTTTCAATTGCTTCTGGTTCTTCAGTGTACCCACACAATACAATACATTAGTAAACCAGCTGTGTATTTACTCAAGCTGATAGATTTATCAACTTTGTTAAGATTTACTAATGGCATACAACCACAGTCCGAACACAGACAATCCGACCAAACTCCTGTACATGTGTTGTTTGTTCCAGGCATCTATCTTAGTACGTACCCAATCACCACCTGAAAAAATTAGAATAATTTGATATTTTTAAATAAATATTTTTTGGGAATTTTTATTTTTTGTAAATTGTTTTGTTATAAATCGTTATATTTTTGATTGAAATATTTCACATTTTTTCATGTCCTACTAGCAGTATAACAGAATTGATATAAATACTCTTAGTTCGTCACTATTAATTATATTGTATATAGTTTTTATAATTTACAATTAAAGGAATTGGTTAAGCTCTCATCAGAAGACTGTGTTGTTTTATGTTGCACTGTTCGTTTATACTTTGTACGTACGTGTATTTTCCTCAACTTTTAACTGTATACATTCTGATACTTAATAGAATTGAAAAAAAAAAACGTTTTCAGCGTTCAATATACATGACTGGATTTACCCAAATAATGTTCGCACGAAACCAAAACTTTTGAAAACCAGAATTATGACGTTGATACAGCACATACACGTATATATATTTATTAAGGTGGTACCAAACACCTTGACTTAAATTAATTTGGCTCGTTTAATTTTCATAAAATTTTGACAAAACATTTACTTTTACCCTTTGACTAAAATATAAAAATTTCAAAAAACTTGAACCACTTACTTTATCGGAAAAATGTCATTGGATATATAGTAGTTTGACAAACATAAATTTGGATCATTGAGAAGCTTAATATTTCCTTAACAATAGAACGTGATTAAATCATTCAGCTGATTTTTACAGAGTTATCTCCCTGTAGTGTTATGTACCACCTTAAACCAAGTAAAAACTGAAAAAAAAATGAAGTGTTTGATTTTATGCTGTCATACGAGGGAAAAAATGAAAAACGGCTATCTAAATCAAAATTCTTTAAATTCAATTTCTAGCAGTTCAAGAAGGTAACTTAATTGCCTTGTTCTCTGAGGACATTGTCGTTGAGTAATCTATTGATATCTGGCTTCATGATGAACACTGTCCACGGAAATATGGTTGCCATGACACTGCTACCAATGCACCAAAGATGTCTGTTTCTGGATTCATCTAAAAACCAGACAGCCCCACCAGTTACAGTTGCTATCATTCCAAGTCCTCCCTGGAATACAAAATAAATCACAACTTTTTTAACAGAAGTAGTGTTAGCTCTTTGGTCGGGTTGTTGTCGCTTTGACACATTCCCCGTTTCCATTCTCAATTTAAATTAGAAAAAGAAAGAAGTATGACTTTTAAAGTTTCGTAGTTCAAAGCCATTAATTTGTAGTACCTTTTTATCTATAGCACTCATACATGTGTGTGATTGTAATCTGCAATTAAAACAATATGTGATTTAATATCTAACATTTTGATTTTTCTACTGAAGTTAACTTAAGAAAATTAAAAAAAAAATGTTATTATGCATGTTTTTGAAATTGTTGATGGCAATTTTTATCTTCAGTACCCTGAACTCTTCATAAGGCTGGGTCGATAGTAAATCTTATGTAAAGCGGCTGAGTCGATTGTAAATCTTATGTAAAGCTAACCTTATCTAATAGCGGGAGGGAAACAACCTGTTTACCTTGTATATTCATAGCTTGGGTTACGGATTCATGTAAAAATGCGGCAGGTAAAACCAAAGTTCAGTTGAATGTATATATGGGCATGTTATATTTGCCGCTTATCATATTCTGGAGGAGATTCTTATATATTTTCGAAATGTTTTTGATTGTAGCAGATCTTCTCATCCTGAGTATTATAACATGTGATACTTGTCACTGTACACTGAGAAAATAGTACAAGCTTTCAAAAGCTGTGTTTTGCATTTTTTATGCTGAACAAATTTAACAGTTCATTCAACATTTTTTACATGAATCCGAAATGAACTTAGGCTAATGAACTAATTTCTTCTTTTGTTAATGACTGCAAGTTAATTGTTATTCTGTAAATGAAAAGTTTAATGTATTCGTCAATTGCTTTAATAAGTTAATTTTTACGGAAATATAGATTAATTTCATACCGAGTGGGAAATTTCCAGCGCCGCTATCGAAAGATAACGTACATTTTCAACTGTTTGCATATTGGTATTGATAACCCTTTGTTAGAGGGTGTTTAGTATTGTGAAAATGCTATTCATTATTCATTCCGCTTCTTCCGAGGAAGAAATGTACATTTTCGTCCGTCTCAAGAACGTACAAAGCTTCCCTCCCACAACATTTCATGTTGGCACATACCTGCCACTTTGCTGCTCTTAGAAAAGATTCCTTCCAAAATCGCCTTGCTGCTTCATTATCAGTACCCTTTTTTAGAGCAGGCATATCCACAATATTTATATAAATAGCACCTCCGGCAAACATACCGGTAGCTGCAAAAGCTGACCATTTTAATACGTCGAGTTTGTCTACTTCCATTTTGTATTTTAACGTATAAAGGTCGAATAACATCTATATTTACTTTACAAAAATAGCAATCAGTATGCATACCAGGTATATCACGTGGTTTAAGGTAAGATCAATAAGACGAACAGATAGTAATACGTAGTAATACCAAGCATTGATGAGCTTCTAATATTTCTTCCAACAAAAATTAAATGGAAACAATCCGTTAGACATGCTATTAATACATTTTGGAGTAATAAATTTAGGTCTTTGAGTAGAGAAAAATCAACCCTGATTAGGCTCTGTACTGACATTATCAATATAGGAGAAATACATCCAGTTTGGAAAACAGCAACAGAAATTCCGGGGGATACAAAGAAAGCCATAACAAAAGCTAGAATACTAACTGGGACCTACCTTTTACAAGCAACCAAAGCTAAATTTAATATAGGAAGTGCAGACCCAATTTGCCCCCTTTGCAAACTCGAGGAAGAAAACCTTCTACATTTCCTAACTAGATGTCCATCTCTGGAAGGGGTCCGTAGGAATTTTTATGCCCCATTAAAACAGGCTGTTATAAATAAAATTGGGATTGATCAGTGGAAAACAAATTTTCAAAATAGGGAAACATTAAGCCAATTAATTGTTGACTGCAGAAAACTAGCGGGTTCTATACTTCCAAACGACAACAATTTTTTAAATATGGTTGAAACAATTTCTAGAAATCTGTGTGATAAATTACATCAACAGAGGTTAAGTCAGATTAATGCTCTATCATAATATAAGCATCCATTAATAATAACATGGAATTGAGCTTTCTTTCGATCCTTTTCTGAGCACAAAATAGTGGCGTACATAAAGAACGGTTAGAAGTGAGAAGTACATGGAGGACAGTTGAGATATATATGTACTTGGGAATACGTTGATATTAACAATAATATACGTAATATACAGACAATTGCTGTATCAAAGTGGTAGCTGATGCCTTTTAGAATATAGAGACATATTTAATAGTGTCAGACCACGGTTTTACTAATGTCATAAAGTGAATCAGTGTCATTTTAGATTTTAGACTATTTTTAACGAAGTATCAAAGTGAATAACTTTTAATATCGTCCGTGTAAAATAAGCCCATCGTATTTTAATATATGCAATTGCGTTTTATACTGGGAAATAACAAAGTGATTTTAGCTGTATAAGTCCGTGTAATATAAGCCCATTGTGTATAATCAAGAAATTGATGTGCTCCTAACCACAGGAGGAAGTTACTGAAAGAAGAAGAAGAAGAAGTAATGTATGACCTCCAAGAGTTCCTTCAGCCTGATAAAGTTCATGGCTTCTTATGCATGATTGACCAAAAGAATTTTTAGACAACAAATAAAGAAACATCAACAAAAATTAAAAGGAGAGCAACACAATAGAAATAAATCTTAATATCGATAATGACCCCTCCCCCCCATAAAAAAAATAGAAGCTAAGTAATCTTTATACTACTCAGTTTAAGTTGGGGAATCATTCCATAGAAAATTGAAAGCCACGTTCCTACCATCTACAACTCGAGAGATTCTAAATAGTTTTAGTTTGTGTTTATACGAGAAACAAAAAGGAAACTCAACCGTTATTGTACTATCTCTAACCCATTCCTTTTTGGGTTGTAATATAATACATGTTTTTTTAATCTAAATTGTCAGTCAAAATAACAATTGGTTATGTCAAACATATTTATTTCCATTTGATTGAAAGGAAAAGAGAGGATTTGCCAAAGGGCCTTTTAAATATTCGTTTTAAAGTGATCTCACAACAATCTCTTGCCCAATTATTATTTTTTTTGGATAAAATGACGATAAGGGTTATGTAGCATGGTCAGAAACTATGAAGCATGATTATCGCTAGACGACCCGATCAACACCAAACGCAACCTAAAGCTTTGTAGATGTGCAATGTTCCATACATAATTTGCTGTCATACATTCGTTCAGATAAGTTGTTTAGTTTATATAATGAAGACAAAAATGTTCATTTTCATAGGATCAGAAAATATGTGACATCAATGTCATGCATGCTGCCCGATCAGTGCGAGTCGAGGAATTCTTACCCGAATCACCATTCAAAGGAAATTTTGAAATGAGTTCGCTTGTAGTTTAGGGATATAATCATTTCTTCGTGCAAATGAGATTAGAAAACCAATTCAAAATAAATATTTCTTGATTTGAGCTAGCTTGTTTAGAGGATGATTTAAACAAAAATCTGTCAAAGTTTCAAAAGATTTCATTGCGTCCATTGAAAGCATATGTGGCATCACTGCCGGGCGATATACCACAGAATCATCACAAATATACCAGTCAACAAAAGTAACGATTGACAAGTTTGAACACGAATTAATAGTAAAATATAATAAATAGGAAAAACTGTTTACCGTTAAATTACTAAATGAAAACCGTTCCTTAGCAAAGCGATTCCATATATGCTTCAGAAAATGTGATCGAATAAATATTGTGTTATTGACCGATGGTGCGAAATGTTTTGACATTATCGGCACCCAGTTTCGAAGATGCTAATTATGTGATTATATAAATCTGCGAAGGAATCTAACTTTAATCAAACCGTATTCATGTTTCAAATTTTTAGTTTTAACTTTAAATATCGGTTTTTGAACTTTAGGGTAAAAACAAAGACACTTGAAATATTTAATATATAATATAAAATATATAAAAAATTTCTCGTTTTTGTAATAAATAATGAATTTGATCAGAAACAAAACTCCGTGAACATTGTACCAATTGTTTTTTTTTTTTTTTTTTTTTTTTTTTTTGACTTGGTAACGTATTTCAAGTTTAATTTATTGAGAATAAATTGCCTAGAATAGCAATGATAAACCTTTTTGTTGGCTACCAAAACCATATTCATTAACATCAACATAACCCCGCAAAAAGAGTTTGGTTTTTTAATGGGGGAGGGGTATATAAAAACATAATCTTTTCACGAAATTCTTTACAAACATAACTTGAGTGTGTATAGAGAGGGAATAATGACCATATTCAGCTAGATTAGCATCTCCATACCTAACAATAATATATCTATTATTTTTAAAAAAGTTGTCTTAGTGTGAATTAATCTGATAGGGGAAATTACTCTGCTTAAATAATTGAAAATATACATACATCTTTTCAATTGCTTTCTCGTATACCATTCAGCGCTTGATGTGAAAGCTGAACAAAAACTTTTCACTTTTTTAAATAGAGTTGATAGTCATTTGACAGATAATCGAATAAGATTAAGGAATACATACCAATTCAATATTATTAAAAAAATTCTGCAAGGATCTTTTTTTGAAATACTAAATAAAATACTTATGTTGACCTCGAGATGTTTTATGGTTTTGTTGTCTCATTTACATATGCATTACTCTTTGATTTGTTTACTCATTTTCACACTAATTGAAAAGATTTGATTTTACCAATCATTTTGTAATTTCATTTTTTCAGGTGACCAAATATTTGCAGAATTGTACTATAGTATCAATACCATGCAAAAGTAAAGGTTGCAGTAATATACCAAATATGCAAATTAGCATTTTGTGAATAGTGTACTGAATGTCATAAATACGAATATGAATGACCCCATTAACATTTTTACATAGCAATAGAAAGATTCATGAAAAACATAGGACTAGGGAAACTTTTGGCTTCATTCAAAAAACACCTTTTTTAAGAAAAAAAAATCATCTCAGCCTTGTTGTCGTTCATGCTGAACTTTGCAGGAATTAAATTGAAAAGTTCACCAGAATGTAAAATAGTTAAATATCTGGCAAGACATTGAAATGAATTTGAATTTAAATGAACATTGACTTTAATATTTTCTTTCAACATACCATTAACGCTTTAATGTCTCAATAATATTCACTAAAGAAATCGGAAATCTCAATCCTTGACATTTCTACAGACGTGAAAGACGGAATTATGTCAACAGATTTGTATTACAATCCTATTGACAAAACACCAGTATCTTTCTCACAGGAGTTGTCACCAAAACATCCCTGAAATCAATGCCTACAGTAAGACTTTCAGAAATAAGCGGACTTGTTTAATCACTTATACCGCGATAAAGCGGCTACAAGAACTTCTCAGCCACCTGATCAACCAGGGCTACAGAAGCCAAAGAAAAAAAACCCAACAATACAACGTTAGTACAGGCTATTCACCTGCAAATTTTCTGACCGACCATCAAAATTTTGATAAATTGCCATTCGTTAACAAGGACAATTGGATGGAAAATTGTAAATACCCTATCTTTACCAATATCCTTCCCGAGTCATCGCGACACGCCTTCCGTAGACCAATATATATAGATATATCAAATGATTCAGGAATCTTATTAGAATGTTTTTTTTATCCTGAAAATGACAATTCAATATCCCCGGGTCACCGCGACAGGTTTCCCGTATAGCAAAAAATCTTAAAGACTTGCTAAAAAATGAAAACAACACGTTCTAAATGTCATGCGTCCTACGCTTTTTCTTGGATTAAACTTCATCAGAAACGCTCAAAGCCGAATATTTGAAAGCCAATGATGTATAAGAACTTAAACAATTGAAGAGCTATATGACTAAAAAGGACCTAAAAATAGCCAAATCATCTACGGTCAACTTTGCCTGAGGAAGATGAAACCATAGTTTCTTTCAATTTTTAAACGGACAATTTTAGAAAAGTTTGTTATAAATCATGTCAGTACAGAAGCACTGACTACTGAGCTGATAATACCCTCGGGGACTGATAGTCCACCAGCAGAGGTATCGACCCAGTGCTGTAAAAAAATAAAACAACACCTTATAAATTTCATGCGTCCGATTGGCTTTTCTGGATTTTTAAATTTATTAACGGACAATTTTAGAAAGGTTTGTTACAGCTAATTTGTCTTCTCTATCTGGATCTTTGTCAGCAGGTTGCAAAAAAAAACAAATATAGAAATGTAAATCTAAAGTAAATGCAGCATATTCTTTTGTTTTCATAAAAACGTATTTTAAACCTTTAAAAACCTAACCTTGTATTCTATATTGGTTTGCAAATCACGCATATTTT